ATGTGGATCTGACAGGTCATGTGAAGTAGGGACTAGGGCTTCTCTCCTGTCTCTAGATTAAGGCAGTTATCCCTCCATGGGGGATATGTTCGCAATGTCCTTTTGTGCACCAGGGATACATCCTGGCTCCACTGTCTGAGGTCTCTTAGACTGCTCAGTCCTTCTGGCTGAGACCCATATTCAGGGGGGGCCTGAGTCAGTCCCATGCTGGCTTCCCAGCTATCAGTGTAGTGGCCGTTATCTCCACCTTGTTCAGGTAAGCTTTCTCTATGTGTTTCTGCCTCATGGTCTTGTCCTCTCCATCTGCATCTGGGTTCTAGTTCGACTCAGTGTTTATGTATGGGTGTTTGATCCTGTTTTCAACAGGCATTAGTTGAGGGCTCCATGGAGAAGGTAGTTGTTGATCTCACTCTCCGGGAAGGGCATGTATGATAGCCTTTCCAAGGAAGCTCAAATTGTTAGTTGGTGGCAGTCTTGTAGTTCTCTAGACCTTTCTTTGTGTTCAATTTTATCTTCAAACCAATATTGGCTCCTTCTTTTATGATCTCTCTCTCTCTCTGTCTCTCTGTCTCTCTCTTTCCTATCTTCTATTCCTAAACAGGCTCAATCTTCCTGGTCGCACGTGTTTTCCTTTCTTCCCCCTCATTTTCTCCCACTTCTCTTTCCATTCGCTGCCCCCCTCCACTTCACCTGAGCTCTGGGAGAATTGTCCCTTCCCAGTTCTGTGAGGGACTTTATATGAATCTCTTAGAATACACCTTGTATCCTAGTTCCTCTGGTGATGTGAATTGTAGGCTGGTGATCCTTTGATCTAGGTCTAAAGTCCATATATGAGTGAGTACATACTGTGTCCCTCTTTTTTGTGACTGGGTTACCTCATTCAGGATGGTTTCTTCAAGTGATATCCACTTGCCTGAGAATTTCAAGATACCATTATTTTTTTCTGCAGAGTAGTATTCCATTGTGTAGATGTGCCACATCTTCATTAATCATTCTTCAATTGAGGGGCATCTAGGTTGCTTCCAGGTTCTTGCTATTACAAATAGTGCCGCTATGATCACAGTTGAGCAGATGACCTTGTTACATGGATGTGAATCCTTTGGGTATATGCCTAAGAGGGGGATTGCCGGGTCCTGTGGTAAACCAATATCCCTTTTCCTGAGGAACCGCCATACTGACCTCCAAAATGGCTGTATTAATTTGCACTCCCAATAGCAGTGGAGGAGTGTTCCACTTTCTCCACATCCTCTCCAACATAAGTCATCACTGGTGTTTCTAATTTTAGCCATTCTGGCAGGGGTAAGTTGGTATCTCAAAGTTGTTTTGATTTGCATTTCCCTGATAGCTAAGGATGTGGAGCATTTTCTTAAGTGTCTTTTAGCCTTTTTGATTTCCTCTGTTGAGGAATTCTTTCTTCAGTTCTGTATCCCATTTTTTAATAGGGTTATTTGGTGTTTTGTTGACTAGTTTCTTGAGTTCTTTGTATATTTTGGAGATCTGCCCTTTTTCGGATATAGGATTGGTGAAAACCTTTACCCAGTCTGTGGGCTGCCGTTTGGTCTTGTCGACTGTGTCCTTTGCCTTACAGAACCTTCTAAGTTTGAAGAGTTCCCATTTATTAATTGTTTGTCTCAGTGTCTGTGCCCCTAGAGTTATGTTCAGGAAGCGGTACCCTATACCAATTTGTTCAAGGGTACCTCTACTTTCGCTTCTAAGAGGTTCAATGTGGCTGGATTAATGTTGAGGTCTTTGCTCCATTTGGACTTGAGTTTTGTGTATGGCGACAGACATTGGTCTATCTGCAGTCTTCTACATACCCTCATCCAATTGTGCCAGCACCATTTGTTGAAGATGCTGTCCTCACCCCGTTGTACAATTTTTGCTGTTTTGTCGAAAATCAGGTGTTGAAAGTATGTGGGTTAATATGAGGATTTTCAATTCGATTCCATTGGTCTACCTTTCTATTTTTATGCCAATACCAGGCTTTTTTCAGAACTATAGCTCTGTAGTAGAGTTTAAAGTCAGGAATGGTGATGCCTCCTTAAGTTCTTTAATTGTATAGGGTTGTTTTGGCTATCCTGGGTCTTTTGTTTTTCCATATAAATTTGATTATCATCCTTTCAAGGTCGGTGAAGAATTGTGGTGGGATTTTAATGGGGATTGCATTGAATCTGTAGATTGCTTTTGGTAAGATTGCCATTTTTACTGTGTTTATCCTACCTATCCATGAGCATGGAAGATCTTTCCATTTTCTGGTATCTTCTTTTATTTCTTTCTTTAGTCACGAAGTTCTTATTATATAGGTCTTTTACTTGTTTGGTAAGCATTACACCAAGATACTTTATGTTGCTTGTGGCTATTGTAAAAGGTGATGTTTCTCTGATTTCTTTTCTCTGTCTCTTTGTCATCTGAAAAAAGCAGGGCTACTGATTTTTTTGAGTTTGTCTTGTATCCTACTAGTTTGCTGAAGGTGTTTATCAGCTGCAGGAGATCACTGGTAGAAGTTTTTGGGTCACTTACGTAGACTATCCTACCATCTGAAAAGAGATAAAGTTTGACTTCTTACTTTCCAATTTGGATCCCCTTGAACTCCTTTTGTTGTCTTATGGCATTAGCTAGAAATTCTAGTACGATATTGAGCAGATATGGAGACGGGAGGCAGTTTTGCCTTGTTCCTGATTTTAGAGGAATTGGCTTAAGTTTTTCTCCATTCAGTTTGATGTTGGCAGTTGGTTTGCTGTATATTGCTCTTATTATGTTATGTATGTTCCTGTTATCCCTGACCTCTCCAAGACCTTTATCATGAAAGGGTGCTGAATTTTGTCGAAGGCTTTTTCTGCATCCAGGGAGATAATCATATGGTTTTTTTTTTCTGTTTGTTTATAAGGTGTATCACATTGATAAATTTCATATGTTAAACCATCCCTGCATTCCAGGTATGAAGCCTACTTGATCATGGTGGATGATTTCTCTGATGTATTCTTGAATTCGGTTTGCCAGTATTTTGTTGAGTATTTTTGCATCGATGTTCATCAGGGATATTGGTCTGTAGTTTTCTTTCTTAGTTGTGTCTTTGTGAGGTTTGGGTACCAAAGTTATTGTGGCCTCATAAAAGACTTTGGCAACGAACCTTCTGTTTCTATCTTGTGGAACAGTTAGGAGTGTGGTATTAGTTCTTCCTTGAATGTCTGGTAGAATTCTGCGCTGAATCCATCTGGCCCTGGGCTTTTTTCGGTTGGAAGGATTTCGATGACTGCTTCTATTTCATTGTGGGTTATAGGTCTATTTAAGCTGTTTGTCTGTTCTTGGTTTAATTTTGGTAAGTGATAGTTATCCAGAAACTTGTCCATTTCCTTTGAATTTTCAATTTTTGTGGAATACAGATTTTCATAGTATGACCTGAAAATTGTCTGGATTTCCTCTGTGTCTATTGTTATGTTCCCCATTTCGTCGTTTTGTTAATTTGCATGTTCTGTCTCTGCTTTTTTGTTAATTTGGATAAAGGTTTGTCTATCTTGTTGATTTTCTCAAAAAACCAACTCTTTGTTGCATTGATTTTTTTTGTATTGTTTTCCTGGTTTCTATTTTGTTGATTTCAGCCCTCGAGTTGATTATTTCCTGGCATCTACTCCTGCTGGGTGAATTTGCTTCTCTCTGTTCTAAGGTTTTCAGTTGGGCTGTTAATTCTCTTATGTGACTATTGTCTGTTTTCTTCATATGGGCACTTAGTGCAATGAACTTCCCTCGTAGCACTGCTTTCAAGGTGTCCCATAAGTTCGGGTATGTTGTATCCTCATTCTCTTGAATATTAGAAAGACTTTAATTTCTTTCTTTATTTCTTCGTTGACCCAGGAGTGGTGCAATTGCACATTGTTCAGTTTCCCTGAGTTTGCAGGTTTTCTGCTATTTGTGTTGTTGTTGAATTCCAATTTTAAAGCACGGTGGTCCCATAAGATACAGGGGACTATTCCTATTCTCTTGTATCTGTTGAGGTTTCTTATGTCACCTAGTATGTGGTCAATTTTAGAGAAGGTTCCATGTGGAGCAGAGAAGAAGGCACATTCTTTTGTCTTTGGATGGAATGTTCTTTAGATATCTGTAAACCCCAGTTGAGACATAACTTCTGTTAATTCTTTTGTTTCTTTGTTGAGTTTCTGATTTGTGGCCCTGTCTAGTGTTCAGAGTGGTGTATTAAAGTCCCCCACTATAAGTGTGTGAGGTTTTATATGAGCTTTGAGTTTTAGTAGTGTTTCTTTTACGAATGTGGGTGACTTTGTATTAGGGGCATAGATGTTCAGAACTGAGACTTTGTGTTGATGGATTTCTCCTGCGATGAATATGAAATGACCATCTTCATCTCTTTTGACTAATTTTGGTTTGAAGTCTAACTTGTTAGATATTAGGATAGCTATGCCTGCTTGCTTCTTATTTCCATTTGATTGGAAAATCTTTTCCCAACACTTTACCATGAGGTAATGTCTATCTTTGAGGTTAGATGTGTTTCTTGTATGCAGCAGAAGGATGGATTCTATCTTCGTATCCATTCTGTTAACCTGTGTCTTTTTATAGGTGAGTTAAGACCATTATTGTTGATGGTAAGGACCATTGATTGTTGATGCTTGTTTGATCTAGGTTTGTTGTTGGCAGTGGTATTGTGAATATATTAGTTCTGCTTCACCCTTGGTTTCTGGTGTAGTTGGATTATCTGTTGCCTACATTTTTGTGGGCATAGTTACCTTCCTTGGGTTGGAGTTTTCCTTCCAATACTTTCTGTAGGGCTGGATTTGTAGATATGTATTGGGAAAATCTGATTTTGTCATTAAATATCTTGTTTTTTCCATCTATAGTGATTGAGAAGTTTTGTTGGTATTGTAGCCTTTTGTTTTCTTTTTACTTTTTGTAAAACTAACCGGGGTCGTCTGGGCTTGAGGGTTTCCATGGAGAAGTCAGGTGTAATTTTGATAGGTCTGCCTTTATATGTTACTTGGCCTTTTTCCTAGAGATCATGGACGCCCTGCCATTCCAAGAAGAATCCAAGAGGCCAGAATCCACCACCACCTCCTCCAGATGCTCGACAGTATGTCCCATCAAAGGGATTTGCGGCCCAAGGTTTCCTCCAAAGTCAGGTAGGCTTTTAAAATGCCCTTATATGAATAAATATGTATCTGTGTGTTCCTTCAAGTTTGGTTCCTGTTACAATGAGAAAAACTGGCCAGAATCCCAACTTGAGGGAGAAAGGGTTGTCATGGCTCACAGGTAACAGTCCAGCAGCAAAGAAGTCAAGGATTCACCTTGGACTACCTTAGGAATTTTGAATTTTAAATGTACTGTGATAGTTCAGAAGATCAGCAAATTTACAAGCACTCTTTTTTTCTCCTCAAGGCATGGTTTTTCTATAGCTGAGCCTGTCCTGGAAATCACATCTGTAGACGAGGCTAAGCTTAAACTACAGAGATCCACCTGACTCTGCTTTCCAGTTTTGGGATTAAATGCCTGTGCCACCAATACCTAGCTACAAGCAGGTTTCAGGCCAAAATTATGCATATACCATTTTATATAAATGTGTACTGAGGGTTAACATTTACATTAATTATTTATATTTTGTCTTAAGATTACTGGCTAAAGTGTTTAAAAGTATTTCTTCTAGGTAGTTCTTCCCACATTATCATATTTAAAATCTAACATCATATTAATTATTTGCTGAATTCATTGAAATTTCTTCTTACACTTACATTTTAAAATAAAAGTTATTTATTGCTTTTACAGCATACTTTCCCCTTTGGAATCAGAAGTTTCTACTAAAACTAAAATCATGTTTTAAAGTAATAGAGAAGAACCAGCTTAGTTATCCCCTGCCTGTTCTCTTCCCTCATATCTATTCCTTAACCTTCCAAGAGTATGACATGTATTTTCTTTCAGAAGTTTTGTAGTTGTTCTTGTCATCACAGAAAATTTATTTAGGATATCATGCCAGGATCACTGATTTCAATGTTACTCTTGAAAGTTTTACTACATTGAAATCTGTTCTACAATATGTCTTGAGTGTATTGCGATCAAGAATAGCTGCTCAAGACGGCACAAAGACACCTGAAATTGTTGGTGTTGTTCTTATGAATCCCATGTGAGTAGAAGTCCACTTTAAATATCAAGATTATTTGTAAGATCAAATATTGTGGTGTGAGTTTTGTTTACCAGTATGGTTTACCATGTGTGCCATACAGGATTTCAACCTCCACTGTCCTTTACTCATCTCTTGCAACAGGGTAGAATATGTACAAACTTTGGGGCTTTCCACTTTCCCTTCTCCCAACTTCTGAGTTCTTCTCCCCACCCTCTCTTTTGAGAAGTGGAAATGAACTCTCTCCAGTCTTGATTCTGCCTTCCAAACAATCTGCCCCAGAATCTCCACAAACAGAGGAGACCTGACCATTTCTATGGCGGTCATTTCTTCTCATTTTCAGTTCAGGATCGCTTTTGTTACTTATGTGATTATATTGTTGCTCAAATTGCAGCTTAATGGAAACATATTGTCAGGATAGTAGTTTGTAGAAAAGATGATTTAAATATGAATCTTATGAGTGAATTGTTTCCACTTCATTTTATTATGCATAATGTATTTTACTTTGATTATGTCATCCATAATTGTGGAAGTTTTATACAGGGCAATCTCATAATTGATGTACCTTAAACTCAAAAAGCTGTTTCTTTATTCCAGAATGTGTTCACCATGATTTTAGGCAAAAGTAAAGGTAACTGTATGTTTAATCAAATGAATTTTAATTGATTTAAAGCATTGTTTGTCTTTGGTATTACTGAAACCAGCCAGTTTCCCATAAGCGTTTTCCACTAAATTAGTCTTTTCACCTGTGCAAAAATTAGTCCTTCAAAAGAGAAGTTTGTGGGGGCTGGACCTGATGGTGACTCATTAGTTAAGACTGGAATCTAGTGCAGATAAGAGGATATGGTCTTGGTTCCTAACACATCCACATGGCAGTTTCCAACCCCTAGGAAATCCAATGGCCCCTTTTGCCTACAATTTCACAATGTATGTATGTGGTGCTTACCCATAATGTAGTGCACAGATATGCTATGAAATGCACCAGGCATGCCTGTAGTGTACCAGGAATTCATTGTTGCAAAAGGCATACACGTGAGTACACTAAGCATGCATGTAGAGCACAGGCATGCATGCAATGCCTGTACAAGGTATGCTTGCCCATATTATACAGCATGCATGATAATGTACCAGCATGTATGTAATGTTCTATACATGTATGTAGTTCATGGTTGGGAGTATATATAGTCCAGAGGCATGCAAGTACACAAAATACTTTGCATACATAAATTACTGAAAAAAAAACTAAAAATTACAAAACAAACATAAAATAACATAAAATATTTTTCTTTTTCTTTTTCTTTTTTTTTTTTTTACGTAATTTAACCCATTTATTATAAGTAGTGGGTTCTTAAGCAATAGCATTTCTACTGGTCTTTCAGTTCCTTCCAGCAGATGGCAGACTTCACTGTCACTGCAGGAAATAGGGTTGTAATGGTCCAGGCCCCACCTGCAACTGTATTCATGCGGAACCCAGTGCCAGATGCCAACTGCTCATCTCTTCATCATGGTCTTGCTACAGAGGAGCAAGTGTACTTAGCGTGCTGGCTGATTTCAATTTTTCTTCACCATTTTCCGCAGGGAGGGCACCATAGCGGGTCCTGTATTTCCACGATGATCCCGACCATCTTGGCGCTGCTTAGCCATGGTAGCTGGAACCTACGCCCAGCCCAGAGAGCACATTTTTCTTTTTTTCTTTTCCTTTCATTCTGTTTAGTTTATTTAATTATTTATTTTGAGACATGGGACAGGGTTTTTCTTTGGCTTGGAGGCTGTCCTGGAACTAGCTCTTGTTCATAAAGCTGGGTCTCAGGCTCGTTGAATCTGCCTGCCTCTGCCTCCCAAGGCAGTGGATTACAGGCATGCACCACCACTGCCTAGCCAACATTTGTGGATTGTCTGAATTTAGTATCTTACAAAGTATGCACCCCCTACTACTTTTAGTTAGATATACATGACCCAAAATAAAGCAATACATTTTAAAACCTTAAATATGTTTTTTTCTTGAAGAAAGACAGGATATTGTCTAATGATGAATTTCAGGATTTTTCTTTTTTCCATTCTGACTAATTTTAAGGTTCAAAACCAAGTGTGTGTGTGTGTGTGTGTGTGTGTGTGTGTGTGTTTGAGAGACAGGTATACAGAAGAGAGAGCATGCACAAGCAGACACAGGCACATACTTAATTTTGTGCTGAATGTATGATGATTAGTTAACAGCTTGGATAATTTTTCTGGTAGGTTGTTTAGAAACTCAGGGTCTAAGGCTGACACAGTGAGTAATTCCCCTATATCCTGGAAGTTCTACTGACTGGTTTCTTAAATAATTTCTGGTTCTCTCATTTTGACTATCTAGTTATTGATTTGTTTGTTTCTTAGAGACAGGGTTTTTGTGTGTGCTTTGCTTGTCCAGGAACTTGCTGTGTGACCAGGTTTGCCTTAAATTTGGAGCCACTCCTGTTTCTGCCCATGGGTCATAGAATTGGGGCATGAATCTCTACATCTTTCGTTTTATTCTTAATGTTTGAAATGTTGCTTGTTTTCTGTGGATTGGGTTGAGTGTGCTGACACCATGTAGCTGTCCTGAGGCACCTCTTTCTGAGGTAGGGAGTTGAAGTGTCTTCAGACTGGTGTTCATGTTCTTGGTCTTGCATACTGATAGGAATGGAGGGTGAGACCTAACTAATGAATTTCCCATCCAGTGGGTTGAATCAGTGATTTTTCTCTATTCAGTTGGATTTTGCTTAGGTGTCAAGGGACAGCATAAGAACTCATTCTCTTGCACAGAGCTGTAATAGTGACTAGAATGGTTCCCTAGTGTCATTGGGGAAAGCCAGTGGTCGGGAGGTGTTTCTGCTCCAGACAGAAAGCCAAAGCTTCCCCCTGTTCTGTTTTCTCACATTTTTACAACATGTATTTCTACCTCATCATTCCCATTTTATTCTTGATTGAGCAGATTTTTAAAGAACTTGACTGGTATTTATTTACATTAAAGTTTTATATTGAAACTTTGTAATCTTGACATCATTAAATCTCTGTTTCAACCCATTTTGCTGCTTTCTCTTCCTGGACCACTATTTTACCGTCTGTTAGCTATTTCTATTCCCAAAATGCTATTAAATTTACCGTGCATAAAAGCATGCATAATTGTTCTATATCTGACCTAAAATTTACAATTTATGAAATCGAACTCATGATTTAAGGTCTAATTCTGGTCTGAAGTAATCACATACTAAATTTCAGTCCCTTTCTCTGTGAATCCTAAGAACCAAGTTTTATGCTATACCATCATTGCTCTTAGCATCAATACAAGAGCCTGAAAACATTTAGTTTCCCTTACACTTTGGGTAAATGAAGTAATAATGGGAAGGGTGAAAGCTCAGAAATTGAACTGTGCATTTTGACCAAAACAAATGTATAATAATAGGATACATGAGTAACATTCTGCTTCATCTTCCTTTAAAAACAAAACATAAAAGCAATATATAATCCTTAGAAAGTTAGACAATGGTAGATACAATGGAAAACATCTGTTCAGAAATGATGTTAACAACTCTTCCAGAGGATGCTGCCATATGGCTTTTGTCCTTCAACTTCTTGCTTTTTTATATAGATTCTTATATTGACAGCATATTATTTATTTATATGATCCATGAACATATTTTAAAAATATTTTTTTCATTTCACATAGAAACAGCATATTCTTCTCACTCTCCCATCTGCACAATGAAGCACTTCCACCAATAAGGCCATTCCTCCTAATGAGTGCCACTCCCTTTGGAGCCATTTTTTCCCAAACCACCACAGTTGGCCTCTCACACAGATTGTGAGACATTTCCTCCACCTCTTTTGTAGGCAGGACTACTTGTAAGGTTAAGGTTTTGTTACTTTGAGTTGGTCTCTCAGTCCCTCCATTTGAAGCCCACCTGATTATGAAAATGGCCAGTACGGGATCTAGATCCTTTAACTGTAGTCAGCCTTGTAGTTTTTCCTGGGAGTTTCTATTGCACCAGA